ATCATGTGTGATACGGAAACTACTTCTCTCAATGTGAATAAGAACCGTATGCATGCTGTCAATAACTATGTCAAGCAATGTGGTCTGTTTGATCTGGGGTTTAGTGGGCCGGCTTATACTTGGACAAATATGCGGTTCTCCTCAAGACCTATCTTTGAAAGGCTTGATCGTTGTCTTGCCAATGCAGATTGGTGTGTTATGTTTCCTAATACTAATATTTTTAATTTACCAATCATTCATTCACTGAGTGATCATGCACCTATTCTGATATCCACTGATTCTCAGTTTCGTAGGCCTAAACTACACTTTAAATTTGAAATTGGTGGACTTTTGAGGAAGATTTCCAGGGCATTGCTAAAAATGCTTGGGACTCCTCGGTTAATAGACCATTCCATGTCAGAACCAATAACCTTGCAGGGACTTTGAAAAGGTGGTGCAAAAAGAAAAAACCTTTACAGCATCAACTTGATTGTATTCAGGATCAGATCAATGAGATTCAAATGAAGCCGGTGCATCTCCAAGACTATTCCCTTCAGGCAAGCCTAGTTGCCCAATATGAAGGTAATTTGACCAAGCTCATTGAATTTTATAGGCAATGTGCAAAAAAACACTGGGCGACCAAAGGTGACAGGAACACATCCTTCTTTCACAATGCTGTTCAAAAGCGTAAGCGTCGAAATCGCATAGTTTCTATTAAGGACACTCATGGTAATAATTTGTTTGATCCAGATGATATTGCCAAGGAGTTTGTTAATTATTTTAGAACTATTTTTCTCTCATCTTCTACTAATAATGACAGGCCCAGTTTGGATACTACTTTGCCGCAAGATACAAACGACTTCACCTACTCGATCCCTGATAAACATGAGATATGGGAAATTCTCAAAGGCATGAAGAAGAATGCCTCTCCTGGACCTGATGGATTCAATGTGGGTTTCTACCTTTCGGCTTGGAGTTGGATAGGAGATGATGTGACCAATTTGGTAAGAAATTTCTACACCACGGGTATTGTTCCGCCTCATCTCAATGATACTCAAATTGCCCTCATTTCGAAGAAACTTGCTTCGCATCTGCCTTCTGACTTTCGGCCCATAAGTTTGTGTAATGTTGTTTACAAAATCATTGCTAAATCTTTAGCCAATAGGTTGAAAGGACATTTGCCTGATTACATTCACCCCTCTCAGCAAGCTTTCATTGAAGGTAGGCGCATAAGCAATAATATTATTGTCGCCCAAGAAATTGCCCACTCATTCTCTCTTGCTTCTTGGAAGAGCCTTGATTTTATACTGAAAATTGACCTTGCCAAAGCTTTTGATAGAATTGAGTGGCACTTCATTGTCTCGGCTCTTGCTCGTAAAGGTCTCCATGGCCATTTCATAAAACTTGTTCATGCATGCATTTCATCCCCAACGTTTTCAGTGATCATTAATGGTCAATCTTTTGCAAAATTCAATAGTTCCAGAGGCATTAGACAGGGATGTCCTTTGTCACCGTATCTTTTCGTCCTTGCAGTAAATGAGTTATCTCTTATGTTACAGGATGCCTTGCAAGCTAATCACCTGACAGGTATTTCGCTTGGACCAAATTGCCCTCCTATTCACTCTTTGATGTTTGCAGATGACCTGATTATTTGTGGCAAAGCTAATGTGCAGGAAGCTAATACTATTTTACAGCTTTTAGACCATTTTTGTTGTGATTCAGGGCAAACTCCAAACTGGAGTAAATCTGGTATCTTATTCAGCAATAATGTTACGATGCAGGTTAAACAAGATATTAAGAGAATCTTTCCAGCTCCAGACATTGACAGTTCTTTCGTCCATTTAGGCCATCCACTTGTTTTACCTTCTAAAGATAGATCAGCTGCTTATAACTTTGTTTACGATAAATTCAAGTCCAAACTTAGCACATATAAAGCCAACAGACTCTCTCATGCGGCAAGATTAACTCTCATAAAATCCGTTTTCTCTTCCATTCCTGTATATTACATGTCCAACATACTTTTTTCAAAAAAGTTCCTTGCTAAACTAACAACAATCATTAGGAACTTTTGGTGGACAGGTATTCAAGATGATCAGACTACTAGAAGCTTGTGCCTTAGGGCATGGGCTGATGTATGTATTGAGAAGAAAATTGGTGGTCTTGGTGTTAGAAATTTGCAGGCAATCAACCAAGGACTTGTTCTCTCGACGACATGGAGATTGGCAAAAGAGCCGCAAAGTCAGCTAGCATTGATTCTCAAGGCAAAGTATCATCATGATACATCCATTTGGAGAGCCCGGCCGAACAAACCTAAATCTGCCTTTTGGTCTGCAATTCTAAAGGTAAAGCCTCTTCTAATCTCAGCCACAATTTGCCAAATTGTTGATGGTGCTAGTTCTATTTGGAGCTCTCCTTGGTTTTCCGGATGGGAAACTATTTATGATCATTTTATCATTCAGCAGCAATCTTTTTCTTACCCTGCACAAGTTAAAGATCTTTGGATACCGGGTCAAAAGAACTGGAATGCAAACTTGATTAATTCTCTTTTCACTCCTGAATTGGCTAATACCATTCTACAAACTCCTATTATTAAGGCAAATGGTAAGGATATGTTGGTTTGGAAACTAACTCCTGCGGGTGAATTCTCTTCCAAAAGTGCTTACAAGCACTGCTTCAACAATCTTCAGCTTCCACCAAGGCAAAGGCCCAAAATTGTCCCTATGCAGGTCATTTCCCTTCTTAATCAGGTGTGTGAGGATAAGCAAATGGCACCAAGAGTTTAGACATTTGCTTGGAGGCTTCTTAGGAAAGCACTTCCTACAGGTAAGAGGGCAGGTAGGTACTCCAAACATATCAATGAAAACTGCTCTAGATGTGGACTATTAGAAGATGAAATGCATATGTTGTTTCTCTGTCCTTTTTCTAAAGCTGCATGGTTTTGCTATCCCTGGTTTATTGAAACGGAATCTCTGGCTGAAAATTATCATTCTATTCCTGATATGATTCGTACTTTGATTACATCTCAACATCCAAAAATAAACTCTCTATACTTTTCTATGGTGTCTTTGGAAAGCTCGGAACGAGTGTCTATTTTGCAGCAAATTATGCAAGCCTTCCCAGGTGTATGCTTCAGCAAATGCAATAATTGAAGCAACCAATTTAAAAGATAAGAACTTCGCTCAGCAACAAGAAAGCGATAAAGCTCAGGAGCAGTTGCAGGCTTCTTCAACAACCACGCATACACATGACTGTAATAACCTTACAGGGAATGTCATCTTTTGCGACGCAGCTTGGGAGAGACGCACAGATTCAGAGCTGGGCCATGCTGGCTAAGGAGTAATCATCACCATGCAAGACAATCGGCACCTCCAACGTCTACACGTCTCCGCGCTTTCGCCTCCAGTTTCATCACCCCTCCAGGCTGAGACTTATGGGCTGCTACTAGCTACTAAGTTAGCAGATCTTCTGCAGGTTCAGAACCCTCACTTTTGCACCGACTGCTCGGTGTTAGTTTCGGCGGCAAGGTCATCAACGGTATTTGCTGCTCCAGGATGTTGGGAGAACAGACCTCTCCTTGCAGAGATCCAAGCCTCTCCCTCTTTTAGTCGTAACAAGATCACTCACATCAACAGAAGCAACAATGTAAAAGCTGATCATCAAGCTCGATTAGCTTTGCGGATTCAGTCAAGGTCCTTAGCTCTTCGTTGCTTATGTACACAAGCAGATCAAGGTCAATGTCCCGGAAAGGACATAGTTTCTGGTTCTAGCATGAGTCCCTTCATGCTTCTTTCTATAAAATGCACCTGCTCATCAATAAAGTTTTCTTGTGTTCAAAAAAAAGAGGGCTAGCTATATAGAGAGGTCAATTAGGGGAACTCATCGAACATTTGGTGGGCATCGGCATGCTGCCATGATGCCGGAGGGCAGAGGCTACGCAATGCGTCTCACCGTAGAGGAGTTCCTCATCCTCGGTTGTGCGAGGAACGACAGCAGGGGCATCTGCGTCGCTGGCCACGAGGAGGAACGACCGCTGGGGCATATGTGCCTAACGCGAGGTCGAGGAACAGAGGCCAGGAATCGAATGCCCCGTCGGAGAAATCCATCTTCGTGGTCGAGCCCGCTGTGTCTCAAGCCCGCCGCAGCTTGAGGGAGGAGATGGACCTTGCCGCCGCTGCCGCCGACGTAGGCGGCGTGCGGCGCGGCGCGGCGTGGGAGGAGTGGGAGGCGGCGTGCGGCGATGCGCGATGGGAGGAGTGGGGTGTGCGGGCGGGCGTGCGTGCGTGCGTGGGTTGTGGCAGTTTTTTTTCTTTTTGGCACGGCGGGCTTAGCGATGCATGGATTAGTGGTGGCTTAATGCGTGGCTTGTAGTGTTAAACATGAAAAGATTATAGACCATTAGATTTGATAGATGAATGAATTAGATTGTTTGGATCTGCCTTTTTTTATAGTGATAGTAGATACATTTATTTTTGCAACGAGTAATTTAGAATGAAGGGAGTATTTCATAGAAGAGAATGTGTACTGCAGAAGTGAAGCTCATCCCATCTCCGGATTAGTTGGATTTGCAGGTTACGCTAAGGCGGAACAAGCTAGCATCCGCCGGGCTATCTCCAGCTCCATTTTTGCCCCTTGCAGGGCTGCATCTAACAAGATCGACCCGGCGTACGTGCGTGCGTGCGTGATCAGCAGCGCCCTGCCCAGCGAGACGACCGGGAAAGTTCCGTTCTGTTGCACGGAAGCAACTCGGGCGTGGCCAGATCCCAGCACAGCGCCCCGGTGTCCGGTGGATATGGACGCGGACGCGGCAACCACTTGTTAGTGGGACGGAGGGAGTGATAGAAAATTCCCACGCCCAACACGAGAAAGAGAGATGCCTTCACTTTGTAGTTTGTCCCAACAACCATGAATGAAAGTGACTCCGCAACTGTCCGCCTTCAACTGAGTATTTATGTGCAGCTTGCTCCTTGGCGCTTGCTCATCAGACTTGCACTTACTCCTACGAGGTTTGTAATAGGCACGAGATGGCCCGTGTAGCGGAGCAAAAACTCCAGCCTAGTTGCCTCGGTGACGCGCTGACGGCGAGGAACGATGCCGACAACCTCACCGAGCTCATCCCGTCGCTGCCCGTCGAGAAGCGGCTAGTGCCGCCGCCCGCCGACATGCAGAGGCGACAGTACCGTGGGTACTGGTTCCCCGAGTGGCACCTGTCGGCCCTGGCGGCAGTCCGCGATCACTTCGAGCCCAAGCCAACGGACATCTTCCTCGTGAGCTGCCCCAAGTCTGGCACCACATGGCTTAAATCTCTAGCCTTCGCCACTGTGCACCGGCACGTCCACCCGCCATCCAGCCAGGAGCACCCTCTGCTCCACCAAAACCCGCATGGCTGCGTCAAATTCATCCACGCAATCTATCGGCAACCGGTCGATGTTGTGCAGGGCATCATCGAGGCGTACCCTTCCCCGCGTATCTTCGGCTCCCACTTCCCATTGTCCTTGTTGCCGGAGCGCATCAATGATGATGATTGCGGGTGCCGGATCGTATACATCTGTCGGGATCCCAAGGACGTGGTCGTCTCGTGGTGGTGGTTCATGCGCACCTACCTCCCAAACCCCGAGCAGGTCCAGTTCGAGGAGGTCTTCGATTTGTTTTGCGAGGGCCGCACAGGTGCGGGCCCTTATTGGCGCCACGCCCTCGAGCATTGGGAGGAGAGCCGGAGAAGGCCCCACAAGGTGTTGTTCCTCAGGTACGAGGAGATGCTACGAGACCCGCAATGCAATCTTAGGAGGCTGGCGGAGTTTTTGGGGTGCGCATTCTCCGAGGCGGAGGAGAAGGCCGGCGTCCTAGAGGCCATCTTGGAGTTGTGCAGCCTTGGCAAGCTAAAGAAGCTGGAGGTGAACCAGAGCGGCAACCGGATTAATGACGAACCCATGATGAACGATTCCTTCTTCAGGAAGGGGGTGGCCGGTGACTGGATCAACCACATGACGCCAGAGATGGCGGCAAGGCTCGATGCAATCGTCGAACAGGCGCTGCAAGGCACCGGATTTGACTTCGGCATCTCCATGCCACAGTAATCAATCGTGTATTCCTACACATATCTCCTGGTAGCCCCGAGGGAACTGTGAAGGCATTCTATACCGTCACGAGGCATATCCAATGTGCATCATCTTGGGGTTTTTATTTTCCTTTTTGTAAGCCAATTCATCGGCATCAATGTTTGGCTTGCTTGGCATTGTCATTCAATAATCAATAATGTATGAGTGTGTGCATGCTGTTGGTGTCCTCTTTCTCAATGAAAAAGTAAAACATCTGTGGTTTGTCGTGGAAAAGAAACATTTGCTCTCTGTATGTGTGCCTGTGTTGTTTCATCTCCAGCAAATATATGGTACATGTTTTTTTACAATAAATGTTGCCTTTAAGAGCATCTCCAATACATCACGTAAAATACATCATCAAAAAATGATTCAAGTAAATTTACATCACCAAAATGCTCTTTTAAAATTATCAGAAATGTTCAACTCCAACAGATGGTGTAAAATAGGGCCTCCAATGAATGATGTAGAAAAGGCCAGCAGCGCAACAACTTCAAACATATGTGAAGCAAAATCATCTCAAATTTAATACTTAAACAAATATAACAACAATTTCATCAATTCACAACATCAAATTATTACATAATTCATGAAATCCACAACATGAAATGCAACACAAATACAACAAGGCTCAGCAAACAATATAACATAGTTCATGCGCAATACAACAAACATTGAGATGAAATTAGGAGGCTTGCTCCCCAAACCATGCCACCACTCCTCCATGATATCTTTTTGAAGATCATCGTGCGTATCGGACTCTCTGATGTCATGGTACACCATAATGAAGCGCTTGATTTGATCTTCCCTTCTACTCAGCCGAAGGTGTCTTTCCATGAGGTCATAGAAGGTCTAATCCAAAAAAATCACGGTCATTCTCAACGATCATGTTGTGCTTGATCACACAAGCAGTCATGATGTACAAAGGTTCTTCTGATCCCAATATCTAGCCAGTCCTCAGTGCTATGTCCAAGCAAACTGGCGCCATTCCTCCTCTGCTCGAAGGCTCGATCATGTTGCATCACAAAATTGCAAATGTCAATAAACAAATCCTTGGACATCCTGAATGATGACCGAATAGTTGTCTAGGAAAACTGCTGGAGTACCAAAATAGTTGCGCATCAACCTTTCAAAGAAGATGAACAATATTCAGAGAAGGATCCATGACCCAACTGTTGGGGAACGTAGTAATTTCAAAATTTTCCTACGCACACGCAAGATCATGGTGATGCATAGCAACGAGAGGGGAGAGTGTGATCTACGTACCATCGTAGACCGACGGCGGAAGCGTTATGACAACGCGGTTGATGTAGTCGTACGTCTTCACGGCCCGATCGATCAAGCACCGAAACTACTACACCTCCGAGTTTTAGCACACGTTCAGCTCGATGACGATCCCCGGACTCCGATCCAGCAAAGTGTCGGGAAAGAGTTCCGTCAGCACGACGGCGTGGTGACGATCTTGATGTTCTACCGTCGCAGGGCTTCGCCTAAGCACCACTACAATATTATCGAGGAGTATGGTGGAAGGGGGCACCGCACACGGCTAAGAAAACGATCACGTGGATCAACTTGTGTGTCTAGGGGTGCCCCCTGCCCCTGTATATAAAGGAGCAAGGGGAGGAGGCCGGCCGGCCCTATGGCGTGCCAAGGAGGAGGAGTCCTCCTCCTAGTAGGAGTAGGACTCCCCTCTTTCCTACTCCTACTAGGAGGGGGAAAGGAAGGGGGAGAGGGAGAAGGAAAGGGGGGCGCCGCCCCCCCCCTCTCCTAGTCCAATTCGGACCAGAGGGGGAGGGGGCGCGCGGCCCACCCTGGCCGCCCCTCTCTCTCTCTCTCTCCACTAAGGCCCATAAGGCCCATTACTTCTCCCGGGGGGGTTCCGGTAACCCTCCGGCACTCCGGTTTTCTCCGAAATCACCCGGAACACTTCCGGTGTCCGAATATAGTCGTCCAATATATCAATATTTATGTCTCGACCATTTCGAGACTCCTCGTCATGCCCGTGATCACATCCGAGACTCCTAACTAACTTCGGTACATCAAAACTCATAAACTCATAATATAACTGTCATCGAAACCTTAAGCGTGCGGACCCTACGGGTTCGAGAACAATGTAGACATGACTGAGACATGTCTCCGGTCAATAACCAATAGCGGAACCTGGATGCTCATATTGGCTCCCACATATTCTACGAAGATCTTTATCGGTCAGACCGCATAACAACATACGTTGTTCCCTTTGTCATCGGTATGTTACTTGCCCGAGATTCGATCGTCGGTATCTTAATACCTAGTTCAATCTCGTTACCGGCAAGTCTCTTTACTCGTTCCGTAATACATCATCTCACAACTAACTCATTAGCTGCAATGCTTGCAAGGCTTATGTGATGTGCATTACCGAGAGGGCCCAGAGATACCTTTCCGACAATCGGAGTGACAAATCCTAATCTCGAAATACGCCAACCCAACATTTACCTTTGGAGACACCTGTAGAGCTCCTTTATAATCACCCAGTTACGTTGTGACGTTTGGTAGCACACAAAGTGTTCCTCCGGCAAACGGGAGTTGCATAATCTCATAGTCATAGGAACATGTATAAGTCATGAAGAAAGCAATAGCAACACACTAAACGATCGGGTGCTAAGCTAATGGAATGTGTCATGTCAATCACATCATTCTCCTAATAATGTGATCCCGTCAATCAAATGACAACACATGTCTATGGTTAGGAAACATAACCATCTTTGATTAACGAGCTAGTGAAGTAGAGGCATACTAGTGACGTTTAGTTTCTCTATGTATTCAGACAAGTATTATGTTTCTGGATAATACAATTCTAGCATGAATAATAAACATTTATCATGATATAAGGAAGTAAAATAATAACATTATTATTGCCTCTAGGGCATATTTCCTTCACCAACGACGCCAAGTACATTCTCAACACAAGTTGCAGGGAGGACGAGGTGCCAAGCTCAGGGCCAACATGAGCACCGAACTTTGGTGCCTCGACGATAATCTTCACCAACCCGACACTTCCACCAACGGGGCCATCCCAACATGCCGCAACGTTGGAACTGACGGTTAAGACATCAACGCAATGAGAGGAACCCTAAGCCCACTCAGTAGTGGCGACCACGGGAGCCTCCGTGGCCGACGCTTCCACCATGACCTTTGTCCCCTCCCAGGCTAGGAGATTGGCCACAGCTGCAGGCGACGATGGACATGACTTCATCACCCACACGACGCCCTACACCAACACTTCTATCTGTGCCACCGGTGCCATTGAGGACTAGAGGTTTTCCAACGGAGAACCAACGCAAGCGCGAGAGACGTTGAAGAAATCGTCAAGTTCTGTACAAACTCGAGGATTTAGTGCTTCAGCACACTCAGGTACGTTTACGACCCGATGATGGCGTCGTTCAAGAAAATGACAGGATCAAGTTTTGCGTCTCCCGTGACTTGGAGTGCCATGAGCGGACCTACTCAGCCGCTTAGTGCCACCACACAAGCCAATATGGAACAAAGGAACAAGGCGGTGCCACTTTCATCATCTCCCAAGAAGAGTGGCATTCACGTGAAGGCAACCAGAACACCACCCTCATTGGCGGACCAGAAGACGCCGACAACGACGACCACACCGATGGATGGTGTTGAAGTAGCCAAGCAAAGGTGAATGAATCAACCGAGAAGAACATTGCCTTGTGTGTGGTACTCTTGGAGTGTAGTCGAGTGAAAGGTTAAAGCAATGAATGGCGACCTTCTCCCCATCACCGAGAAGTTCAACTATCCTTTGGAGGAAGAGATCATGTCGACACGAAGGAGAACTGCCAGAGGATTTTCCTACCGCGCCTTGGCAACGTATGCATATGGTTCAGGGGTGCAGAGGTTGATGCCAAGAAGAGCTCATCAACATCGCAAGAAGGAGCAAGATCCAAGGCCCGGTGTCTTACTTTGACAACATGGAAAGGCTCGCTGGGTGGAGAAAGCACTTCACGACACCTAAATATATCCAAGCGTCACTACACCAACAACACATCACGGCTTCCTCAAGACCTTGATACGCGACGACAAGTTGCAAACCGACCTGTGGCAGATGTTTTGATTGGAGGTGGAGAGCACCATGTACACATCCGATTCACTATACCAATCATGTTTTCCGTTCTATTCTTATTTTCAAATACACATTAAACATTTCTGAATATCAATAAACATTTTTTTATAATTGGCGCTAAACTTTTTTTAACTTAAAATGAACATATTTTAAGTACATTGAGATTTTTGTAATATACGCTGAAAAAAATGCACAATAGATATTTTTTCAATATATGTTAAATATTTTTTAAATATAGGATGAACATTATTATAATGAAATATAAACTAATTTGTAATATACGGTGAACATTTTCTTAATATACCATGAACAGTTTTGTATAGTACACAAAAGGCAGAAGGGGAAAAAAGAAACATAATAAAGAAAAATAGAAAATAAAGGAAAGATGATCAAAACAAAGAAACTGAATAAAAGAAAGAACAGAACCACTAAAAATGAGATTAACAATGACAAAAACCAAACTAAACCGCAAAAAAGTGCAATAAAATCGCTACGAAGCTAACAAACAAGGCCCATGAGTGAGCGCCCGCAGGCGTCGCGCCAACTTTCTGACATCTGTGGGTGAGAGGGCACCTCCTATTCGGCGCGTAGGACGTCGCGAAGCGACCGCGCGCGTCCCCCCCCCCCACCCCACCCCCACCCCCC